TTTATTCTTTAACACGTTATAAAAGCTGAAAAGCAAAGTTGTTTCAAAAGCCATTAACCTCAACCCTGCAATGAGGGGTAATTTTAATTTCTGATCAAGGAACTAATGGCAAACTGAATGAATTGTGAATTGTATTGGCTTTACATATTGTGCTATATAACATGGTTTAATTGGTTTGGTATTAAATTTATGTTTATTTTGATCACAAACTTCACTCTTCTCTTCACTGAAATGGGCTTTATTTTTAATTAACTGAGTACCCTGCTGAAATCTAAAAAGCCTACATATTCAATAGAAGTAATTCATTTTATGGATTACATTCTTGTTGAACAGGTTTCTGAAGATTAAAAGCCTTACTATTATATTTCAATGTCTGCTCCGAAAAAATTCTCAGAAGAGAAACACAATGAGAGTCTATAGTTCTTCCTAGCTTTGAAAAATGCCATTCACTATCATCTCTGTAATGGACAGAGACATAAAGACTTAATAAGGGGTAAGCACCTCTTCCTCTTATACAATGCCGCTATGTAAGATTCACCATGGCAGTTAAGGTCTTCCATGTTTGATCAAGTTAACTCTAATATAGCTGACTAACTATTGTGTCCCACCAATGGGAAATTTGTGTATGTGTTCTTATAAATGTTAAATACAAAGCCTTTTTCACAGTTATGATCATTTTCCTAACTATAACCTATGCTGTACTATGGATGTTGTAAAATATTTATTAAAAATAATTTGCAAGTTGAAATACTAATTTAAAAATGGTATTACTCTCTAAACGTTTAAGGCACCAAGCAATAAACCAGAAGATTTTGAGTTCTAGTCTTTCTTAGGCATGAAAGTCAGCTGGGTGACTTTGAACTAGTCACTGTCTTTCAGCCCAATTCACCTCACAGGCTTGTTGTTCTGGGAAAAATAGGAAGAGGAAGGAGTGTCAGGTGTTTGCTGCCTTGAGTTATTTATAAAAATAATAAAGGAAAGATTAAAAAAAACCTAGAACTAGGGCAGTTTTTAGCTCTGGAGATTTCCTCAGCTTATGAAGTAGATTTGGTAAGTATGTTCTCATTCATACAGTGGTTGAATGCTAAATGGAACAGGCATGGGAAAAGTGTAAGTAGGAAGTAAAAACAAGCTAGTGTAACAAAATCTGGAATAGTTGTAGAATAAAACATCTTCAAAATAATTCTGATCAACTGTAAATTCTTTACAACTTGTTACATTAGTTCAAACTATTCATTTGATAATGGGTTAGACAATGAGCTATGTAATACACACACACACACACTAGCTCGATACCCGTGCTTTGCTTATGAAACTATGTGGTCAGGCTTAGTTTTTAGGGAGAAAAATAAGGGGGGAAAATTCTGCCTCTGCCTATCAGCATCCATCGGTATTCATCTGGCTAGCATCCTGTCAGTGTGTGACAGAATTGAGGGCTGTTTGGAAACTGAAACAGTATTTGCTGTGTAAGCAAGGAGACAGCAAGGAGCCTGGGCGTGGCTTAGCTCAACTGTTCTGTACTAAAGCTGCTTGGTGCTGTGAAACTAAAAGTGAAACTCCTCTCCTGCTTTTCATTTGGAACATATTTCTTTTCAGGTGGGGAGGGGGAGTAGAAGTCCTTAGTATCAAAGCCAATAATAATACAATAATAATGTGCCAATAATAATACACGAAATAGTAATGCTGTGATGGTCATTTCTTAGTGAGCACCTAGAAGCCAAGAGGAACATACATGCCAAATTTCAAGTTTGTAGGCTTTACAATTCTGTAGATTTTGTGATGATGCGTGAGAGGTATTTCGCATAGATAGATAGATTTAGATAGATAGATAGATAGATAGATAGATAGATAGATAGATAGATAGATAGATAGATAGATAGATGAAAGACAGACAGACATTATATAAAAGGGTTAGCTTTACCTGTGAATGGTTAAAAAATTCATGTGCTTTTTCTTCCCAACTGCAGTTGAGTAACACTTTTGAGAAATGATCCTAAACAAGCTACATATTCAAGGAATATGAAAATATTTAGATACATATTATATAGTTACTCCCCCCTTCACAGAATTGGAATGAATATTCTATTTCATTGATTGACTAGCCATGTACCATCAAGGTGATGTTGACTCTTAGCAATATGGATTTTCTCCCAGATTACCTGTCCTCAACCAGGTTCTTCAAGTCTTTCAGTATTACTCCCATCACTACTATTAAGTGAACCCAGGCACCAGATTTGCTCTATTCTGGAGCAACCTGAAATCAAACTATTGACAACACCTTTGTAGACAAAATGGTTGGGTAATCTATACCTTTATAATATATCACCAGATTCAACATGGAAATATTCATGGAAGATTCCACCAGAATAGCCACCACTTTAGGGAAATGTCAACACAGAATATCACTGCTTTGACAGCTATAGCATTTCCCACGATCAAAACTAGATTGCCATATATATCAGCATTATGGAATGGAAAAGAACAGTCATCTTCTTCCAGGTTCTCAAGTGTATTTACTTGAACACTGTGTGACAGAACACTGGACCAGATAGACAATGTAGTGATCTTATGTCCAGGAGCTATAATGTTCCAATATGATATTTCAAAAGGAGCTTAAAGAGCTGGAACATTTTGTAATTTCCCTTCTGTTCCAAAGTTAAAAACAAATGTTGTGTTGAAGTGGAAACCTTTTTTTAATGCAGGGAAGCCTTTGGGTCAGTCATATGTCATGCAGAATATAAAGATATTTTAATATTTCTACTATCACTTCGACTTTGAAAATTAAGAGCCGATTTAGATACTAAGCTTGTGCCGCACATCTGGAAGACCCTCAAAGAGATGCCTCTCATGGCTCATGTTAGAAATATTTCTATCATATTTCAGCCTCAATTCTACTGATTCCTGTAACTAAGAAAAAGTTCAAAGCAAACTTCTAGCTTGCAAAGAACCAGGATATCCTGTGCTCCCATTAAGCTTATGAAATGGTTTCAATCTAGTGGAAACCGTTTTTCCTCCCTACTTTAGTTGAACTAAACTTCACCTTACCATTACTTATCACCTTTCATGTTGTCCACCAAAGAACATATTTCTATAGCCCACTGTGGCTGCAGCAGAAAAGGGGAATAGCTGAAAACTGCCTGCCCTTTAATAGCAGCAGAAATGCCTATTTGATGAAAAACCATTCTGCAAGCATACTTAATTATTCTTACCAAAATACCTTTTATGTACAGTATATGCATGTGCACATATGCATATGTGTACATGAGAGCAATCAACCAATAGAACAGCTTGCCTTCAGAAGTTGTGGGAGCTTCATCATTGGAAGCTTTCAAGAAGAGACTGGACTGCCATCTGTCAGAAATGGTGTATGGTCTCCTGCTTGGGTGGGGGTTGGACTAGACGGTCTACAACGTCCCTTCCAGCTCTGTTAATATGTTAAATGTCTGTCTGCGTGTATATGTATCATGGAATAAAATCTGACACTGGAATTAGAAAAAGTCAGAGAATTCAACCTCTTCCTCAACTAGAGTTAAATAATTTCAAGACACAACTGTCTAACCTTTCACTAATTTAAATCCACTAGTCCATATCGTGTGCTGTGGAATGTGAAAAAACAGGACCTGACTTTCCACTCCAACATCCTGTCAGGTATTTAGAGAGTGCTATCATATTTTCCTGTAGCATTTTTTTCAGGCTAAACATGCTCAGCTCTTTTAAAATCTTCTTCATGGGGTTTAATATCTAGTCCCTGATCACTTTTAAATTTTCCTAAATCCACTTTCTCTGACTCTTTCAAGTTCAGTATCCAGAGCTGGACATGCTACTTGGGGTGGGGTCTGCTCAAATCAGAATAACCAGCGGGATTACTCCCCTTGAAGTGGCGTTACTTCCAGTCAGGCATCCTGAAATGACACATGCCTAACGTGTAAACAATCCACCCGGTTAACTCATAGTAGTTTCCAAACAATTTTCCAGTATTTTCACAATTGCCACTACTAAGCCAGCAGTATTGCATTCTGTATCTGTGCACGTAATCTTAATTTTTTATGGTATAGTAAAATCTGAGCATTGCTCTATTTGAGGTTTCATGAAGCTTTCCCTGTACTTGCTTTTTAGTGATTATAGAGCTTATGTTGAAGTTAATGTTAGTAACTAGAGTCAACATAAAATCATCTCTGTGTATCAAATGCTCATACAATTGGAACATACAGTTCTCTTTTCAGCAGTACTTGTTTTTATTTCTGTAGATTATGTGATATATGTAATTGACAAATAAGTATTTAGTTAATACTAGACATTGTTTGCATAAAATGTTACCAGAACTAAGGAGGTTTTCTGTTCTTTCTATTGCACACAGTATTATATATTTTAGTGGCAGGGATAAGTGGCTCATAACATTTTGCATTTAAATAGTATTTTAATATTTGTCTGGCAATCCTTTTAATAAATAATTTTGATATCATTTAATCTATAGCAAGATTCAACTCTTTAGTTACTAGTCATCCTCACAAACGTCTGCCTTTCGTACTTTGTGCCTGGCATCCCTCTTATCCCCCCAGATCAAATAACGCTGAAGTGTAAATTATAGTAACATATTCCCATTTTACTTTTTGTTAACACACCGTTATAAGATGACCTATGGAACTTTTATAATGTTATTATTCATTTCTGCATACTGTTTTTTTTTTCAGGCTGCTTTCATTACTTTTCAAATACCTAAAATTTTGGAAAAATTCCTGTGCTGAATGTATTTTGAATTATCCAAAGAAAATAGCATGTAGGAGAAATCTGCTCACTTTCTTAAAGTGCTCATTTTTCAAAAGTAAAAGCTAATGTCTTATTTTGGCATACTTTTATTCATTGTAGTCTTTCAACACCTATATGAAATTGTTTTGAACATTTTCCCTGTTAGATACCATGATGTGCTTCTTCTATAAAAAAAAAAAGGGGGGGGGGAAGAAACCCTGAATTTAAAAGGTGTAAGGCCACCATGTTTTATTACGTGCAATAAATTGAGAGGTAAAGGGGTTTTGTATAATTCAATATCTGCATGAGGAATAGAAATTAAACTGGGTATCCTTCAGACTTTTAAAAAACAACACTGAATGGTTAGTGTTTAATTATCAAACATGTCCTAGAAATCCAGTAATATTGTACTTTAGGGAAAAACTTGCTAAACAATTCCATTTTCTCCACTAGGAATTATAGAAGGATCAATTCCATGCTGTTTCATTTGTACTGCAATGTCAAAAAGGTAGTCGTAACATTCACACCTGAAGAATACACAAAGGGAAAAATAAATTAGAGTGGTCCTTTGGTTATATACATTGTTTTCAAATCTGTTATATAAATATAAATCAACTAATTTACTATTACAGAAGAAATTAAAGTGAAAGTTTTCACAATGTATAATACTGCATTCACAGTAAAAGAAGACAATTCTGAATTTAAGATAGATACAGACAGGGGAAAAAAACAGGTCTATCTCAAATAGCATAGCAATAGCATTTAGACTTATACACCGCTTCACAGTGCTTTGCAACCCTCTCTAAACAGTTTACAGAGTCAGCCTATTACCCCCAACAATCTGGATCCTCATTTTACCGATCTCGGAAAGATGGAAGGCTGAGTCAACCTTGAGCCTGGTGAGATTCGAACTGCCAAATTTCAGGCAGCCAACAGTCAGCAGAAATAGCCTGCAGTACTACATTCTAACCAATGAATCCCCATTCTCAACCAAATTAAGACAACCTTCCCCCTGTAAAATAACGTACTGGAGAAAAAAACCCTAAGATTTTGTTAAGGTGAATATAGTATTATCTTGGTAATAATATCAATTTTAAAATATTTCTCACTATGGAGAAGTATTTCTGAGGTAGCAGTATTTCCTTTACACAATTGATAAACTTATGCTGTATTTCCCTTATCACCATTCAAAAATCTTTTTTAAACTTTGTTGTTGTTATAACAATAGAAGCTCTGCAAGTATTTATAAAACAAGTGTAAAAATAGAATGGTATAGTGGAGAATATTTTTACACTTTGGTAATTGGAATAATTCCCAATTCTCAAAAATAAAAACAGAAAAATCAGATGAAGTGGATGCAAACACAATCCAGCTATACTTATAAGTTAAGAAGTTCTGAAAGAGATAGGCCCACCAATATATTGGTTTACTTCCTTATTCTACTCACATTGTCTTGGCTTTTTCCCATGTTTCACCCCAAACATAAACACCATGACGCCTGACCAGCACAGCACAAGTGTCTGGATACGTGTTCATTGCATGTGACATTCTATCCTTCAAGTCCTTCTCTTCAGGTGTATTCTCAACAATAGGGACTACTAACATGTCATCATATCTGAAAAAAATGAGGTTGTGTTGACATGAATAACATGATCATTTTAGCTTCGCATACCTAGTTATCATTGCATTGCTTGTTCAATTTATGTTCAATAAAACATTTATGTCCATGTTAATGTATCCAAATGTGGCCAACAAATAAAGCAAGTAATAACATCCCTCCATTTCAAAACCAAGAATCTATGAAGTCATTACAACAAAGATAATTGCAGTACTGTGCTATCATAATAGACCATCATCAAGTATACCACTGCCTGTTTAATTTTGACAAAGGAAGTAAATGAGCAAAAATGTAATAAGCATTATAGCTTATTCACAATGAGAATCTTTAAAGACTTATTTTAAAAAACTGTTTTTTCACCTATTTCAAGATGTTGATGATCACATAGGGGAAAAGCAATTGGGTACATACATTGGCATAACCCAAACAAGGATTAAGATAGCAGTGACAAAATTACTTAGAAAGAAATTTGATCGAACTCAGTGGTGTTTGCTTGTCTCTTTACTGAAAAATATATATCAGACTATACTATCAGTAGTTTCAAAGATATTGACAGTTTTATTTTAACTGGATAATATCAACTATACAATTATGTGTAATTTATCTTAAATATAACAGTGAAAGATATTGCACTTTTCTTACCAACAGTAAGTGTTTTCAAAAAGTACCAAAATGTACTGAATCACTTATTACTACTTGTTACCACTTATTATTTACCCAAAAGGAAGATGAGCTTAAACGTAAAAGTCTTCTTTTACATTTTACAAGGTACAACATACACATTATTCTTTCTTGCATAATAGAAACAGATCTACCAATTCAGGAAAAGCATCAGATAGAGATGGGATATAGGAAGGAAACAAATATGTAAGAATGGACTGTTTTCGGGAAGTGATAGAAAGCAATTCGTGCTAGTTTCAACAAGCATAAACCCATCCATGCTTATACAGTATTCAATTCTTTAACTATGAATTGAATGGCTCTTATTCTCAGAAAAGTATTTGCAGACTATGGCTTTGCTAGGAATAGATCTCTTTAATATGGTTTACTCCATGTGGTAGTTGGAGGATATCCTTGGGGGGTTGGAGAAAACTGGTTTGGGAATGGCTTATTTCTTTGGAAAATAAATCTATCAACAGACATTTGCAGTTGGGCTGCAAAGCAAATAAAGGTTAGTGCATGTTTTACTTGGTAGCAAGCTGTACTGAGCTGGCTCTCACTAGGTAGGTATGTTTAGTCAAATTCAACTGTTATGAAATCTGGCAATAGCTTACTTACGTTCAAGGAATGCAAATAAATATTCCAGCCCTGATCCTCTTATTACCCTCTCTATGGAAAGGCTGAATGTCAGTAATGGCATATTTATCTGAATGACTGAGCATTCTGAACTTTAAACATCTTAACCCAAGCCTGGGAATCTGCAAAAATAACAGTAGCAACTGTTTCCTTCTTATGCCTCTGTTCCAGTCATCTGCTTTATTTGCCCCATCTCCTTGATTTCAACAGTGTTGATCAGTAGGGCTATATAAAATACCCAGAAGATCTGGGGCCCTAAAAGCCCAATATTATTATCCATTGGAAAAGCAGCAAAGAGATCATTGGCCAGAAGTCAGATCCATATCATCAAATTACATATCTAGTGCATGTTACTAGAAAAAATTTCCATGTTTTCCTACAGTAGTAACTTTGGAGTCCTGCATTAAGAGCACCCACTGTAAACTTGGTAGCTAGTTTTTTAAGTAGAAGTAATAATGATGATACATAATGTTTACAGCATTACCCAATTGGTAGTTGTTACAACACATCCCAGGTTTCATGGAGGACATGTGAAAACATCTCCTTTCATGCTGCTTTTCAGAGTGTCTAGAATTCTATGTTCCAAACTTAAGTTTTCTAGGTAAAACGTTAGCATATCACAGTGTAAGAGAAGCTGTAGCATCTTTTATTTAGGGTAGTGATATATTATCCTAAAATCAAAGAAGTATGAAGTATATAAGTCTGCCAGTTTGAATTAAATTGGTTTGAACAGTGCCAGGATAACTTAATCCCACTTTATTATTCATTGTGCAAATTCCAGTGAGTAATCTGCTGAATCTTGTTCATAGCTGAGATTTTTAGAATGCTATGGTGATAATATCAATGCACTGAAATGTCCAAGCCATTTTACTTAGGGACTTGAGATACCTTTCACTGAAGTCAGCCACTTGTTTTCTCTATCAAATTCATAACTGAAAAACACAGGTTAATTCCTAGAATTGTTAGACGGCATAATCTTCACAATATTAAAACTTGCTTTATAATGAATAGTTAAAGCACAACAGTGACTGCTAGACTAAATAATAGTTTATAATGGTTGAAACTGCTATATAGTTTAACCCTACTGCTAATAAAATATTTTTCCCTTCTCATTTTATCTCTCATGCCTTCTCCAAATTTCCAAAGAACTAATTAACCATTTTTTTTATAATACACAGGACAAAAGAGATTTGTTGTGATCTTAAAAGTTATTTCTTTTCTTGAATGGCTACTCCAATAGAGCGGGGTAGGATTTAAGCCCATGGAACTATATATATAAACAATTCTTGTATGTATCAAGATAAATTTATGAAGAACAGGAGAAAAAGCTTGTCTTAACCTTTCTGGAAAAGGTTTCTGGGTATTCACATAATCGGGAGCACATGATTGGGATGGATTCATTTTAGATTCTGGGAGTTTGGGATAAAAGTTGAATACAAAAACTGTAAGAGTTTTTCTGGCATATCAAAGACTTATCACAGACACTTTTGTGGGTCACAGACTCCTTCATCCAATGCATAATGTGATAATTCTTTAAGGATTCTACGTGACCCTGGGATACGGCGACCGGCATAAATGAGTCAGTTGCCAAGAGTCAGAATTTTAGTCACATGACCATGGGGATGCTACCTCAGTCTTAAGTGTGGAAAATGGTCATATGTCATTTTTTTTCAGTGCTTTTGCAAGTTCGAGCTAAACGAACTGTTTTAAGTTGAGGACTACCTGCATTTTTTGTTACAAAAGACAAAAACCAACTTTCACAACCTGCATGCATGAAGAAGTATTCAATATTACTCCAATGTTATTTATTAATGTAAATTACTTTCACAACCTGCATGCATGAAAAAGTATTCAATATTGCTCCAATGTTATTCATTAATGTAAATTACCTGAAATAACCCCCTGTAGTGCATTTCTGGATTCCTTTTATCATCTCCTGATGAGTAATTTTAAACTCTTTTCCTGGATACAAAAGTGTGGCCATTACAGCAGCTTTGGAATGAGTATGAATCACTGCTCCTGCTCCTAAAACATTATTTTTTTAAAGAAGATATGATTCCAAAATTCAGTATTTGTCCTCTAAGTTGACCCATTTTAGGTACCATGATTCAAAAATTGTTTTCCTCTTTCATTATTTTGCCCAGTTAAAGGTTACAGACACAAGAGTTTTTAGTATACGAGTAATCCTCCACTTACAATCGCAACTGAGCTCAAAATTTCCATTGCTAAGCAAGACAGTTGTTAAGTGAGTTTTGTCCCATTTTACAACCTTTCTTGTCACAGTTGTTAAGTGAATCACTGCAGCTGCTAAGTTAATAACATGTTCGTTAAACAAATCTGACTTCCCCTATTAATTTGGCTGGTCAGATGGTCACAAAAGGAGATCATAAGAACTGGGACATTACAACTATCATAACAACAACATGCCAGTTGCCAAGCATCTGAATTTTTGATGACCTGACCATAGCCATGCTTCAACAGTCGTTAAGTGTGAAAAATGGCCGTAAGTCACTGTTTTCAATTCTGTTGTAACTTTGAATGGTCACTAAATGAATGGTTATATGTCGAGGATTACCTGTATAGATAAGTCCTAATTCTTCTGTGGCATAATAAATTGTTCCATGTAATTGATTGATGTTTACATATGTGTACATTAGAGATGGTATTCAGCAGGTTCTGACCAGTTCTGGAGAACCGGTAGCAGAAATTTTGAGTAGTCTGGAGAACCGGCAAATGCCATCTCTGACTACTGGCTCCGCCCCCATCTATTCTCTACCTCCCAAGTTCCATCTGATTGGCTGGGTCTTTTCTTGTTGCTCTGCACAGGAGAGCAGAGGTGGAAAGCAGGTTAGTGGGGTGGGGAGGGAATGGAATTTTGCAGCATCCTTCCCCTGCCACACCCACCAAGCCACATCCACAGAACCGGTAGTAAAAAAAATTGAATCCCACCACTGGTGTACATAAAGTGTGTGTGTGGAGGGGAGGACAAAATGTGTTTCATGATGTCACCTTGCAAACCTCATAACTTACGTCTTACCATGCATTTGTCATTATGCCTTCACCGTTATAGTTACCCGAGTACATTTATGTACGCATTCAGCAGTACATATTGCAAGGCAGCCCTCCCAAAACGTCTGTCATAAGGACTGAAATACTGACTGCACATTATGGAAGTTACTGATCTCAATACATCTTTACAGTACTGTTTTTTTCCCAGTGAGACCAGTCTATCATGACAACCTGGTCTATCCAACTGTGGAACAGAGCATACTTGAACGCCTGAGAATAAAAGGATGGATGTAATTTTCTCTTGTTATAGTTCTATATAATTCTCCATGTGGGAAGACAAGAAGACACACCGACTTCAACTGGACTTCTTCTGAATCAAAAGTTCCTTCTAGTTGGAATTTTTTATTTAGCATCATCGTCTATTTCAGGATATACATTTAAAATCTACCTATTCTTAATATAAGGTATGAATTACAAGAAGCACAGGAAGTGCTTTCTTTGCACATCTTCCAGCTTTCATTTTCCCGTTTCTTTTTACTCCAACTAACAGGAAGACTCAGATCAGCTAGTAACTTGGGAAGCATACACATTAATTAGTTTTTTTTATTTATTACTTAAGAATAAAGTAACTGCTACAGTAAAGGTTCCATTATAACTGTAAACATCCTACTTATAAAATAAGGGCTATTGTCAATGAATGTGCTGTAGTTTTGTAATCTGTTCCAATAACACATTACTGGAATCTCTCTAGGATGCTCAAGGCTACAGGCTAGATTGGAAGATTTAAAAAAAAAAAAAACCTTAGGAGCTAACTACATCCTTTAATTACATAAACTGGCTTAAGGCTCTTTCTGTACATCAGCTTGCTAATTCTAAAAAAATGAATAGAAGGGGACGAAATCTGGTATGGGGTAAGAAACTGGTAAAGGAAAATAGAGTTTAAAGTGGGCTGAATCAAGCTGGAGGTTGTGGAGCAAAACAAATATCCAGGAAAAAATGTCTACTATGGGAGAGGCCGATGACTCATATTATTGGCAATTTCTGGGGTCTCCTCCCTCCTGGCTATGTTTTCTACATCCAGCCTATTATTAAGGGGTTGGAAATAATTCCAGAAGCCACACTTCATGTCCTTTCCTACTTTTTCTTTTTGGAAAAAAAGGGGGAGGGGATTGTACTGTAATATATCTTCATCCAGGCCTTGGCTGAAGATGAACAAGATGTCCTTTTTAACCTAGGTTGTTGTTCTACCCAGTTCGTTATCCTTGTCATTGTTATCCTTCTTTTGTTTCTCATTTTTATTGTCTTGTATTTCATGTTTGAAATCATTTGTAAATCATTCAGAATTGCTGGGAATCTGGTGGCTTCTAAATCATCATAATCATCTGCCTTCCAGTCATGTTACAGACAAAAACCACTCTATTAACAATGGCTTCAACCTCCAAGAATATTTAGGCCATACCTCTCATGACGTAAGCATTCATGAACAGAGGTGTACATTGACTCTTCCTGAGTTTCTTGTGGGATGGAGGGCCACTGATGTCTTTTTCTTCGATATCACACACAAACATGTCTTCGGGCTATAATGAAAGAACAGCCAGTTGGGATAACCATCGCTTTTCAACCAAAAAAAAAAAAAGGATTTGGAAAAGTTTGAAATCTATTGAAAGTCTATTTTTGACAAGGGTATTTCAAATTGGGAAACTACTAGAACAAAGACATGTTGGTACAATTGGTTCAATTTATTGGGGTGCTAAGAAAATGTACCTATGAGGCAGCCAAGCACCTATGCAAGTTCAAACTATATTACAGACAGTCCAAAAATATCCTTTGCAGGTTCAAGCTCAATAGAAACTGGTTTTTCTACTGTGCAGGAGAAGCTGGCTATAAGCAGCATTGACTAGCTGTAATGCTTGTGTTGTTGGAACCTCACCTCTATCTGCAGCATTTTACAGGTCTTTTAAAATATACCTTTCATTCAAAGGTAAATGAAATGAAACCCTTCTGAACAGAGAGCCTAGCAAGATATCTAATCGTGTTATTTTTGCACATAGTATAACATTTTATGGTTTTAGAACTTTTTGTAATACTTGGAAAATTGCTTGTCCCCACTTCAATACAATGCAGATGTAACATTGATAAACACACAACCTGCTGAACTTATATATCACAGTACAATGGAAAGGGGAACGGATTTCACTAAGATTACATGTAAGTAAGAGAGTATGATTGTCAATTTAATTATTCTACTTTATACGCAATGCACTTGCTTGATTTTAATGGACTGAAATTATTAAGCACTAGTATTTGCAATCATCACAGCCTTGGTGATCAGTTTTCAAACATTTCTCCTTGAAAAGTTTAAACAAACAAATGAAAACTGAGACTGCAATTACCCACAATCCATCTTCTAAATCTGGCACATTCAAATGAATAAATAAACACAGCTCTATTTAAATATGCACAATGTAATCAAATCCATTTAATTCAGTGGAACATACACCCAAATAAATTGGGATAAGATTCCAGTCTTAAATCAGAAAATATGCATTAATAACGATGAAGATTAATGCAATCTTAGAGGCCATAACTTAGTTCTAACTAATAATACTGCTTTTTATAATAGTATCATAAAATTTGAGAATTATAACTTTTCATATTTGCAAAACATCTAATTTAAAATCCAGGGATTAATTGCAGCGTAATGTTTCTCATACAGGACTAGTATTTTTCATTGTTTAAAAAATGTTGGCAACATTCTAGAATTATAAAAGGGGAACCTCTACTTTCCAAATTTTTCCAAATTTTTCACCGATAGATTGTTAGGTAATAGATAGAACACCCTAAAGCCAAAAAGTAAAATAGATAATCTATATTTGCTCTTGCCCTGTAAGATTCAGATGGAAGAAAGCTGGAAACTGCTACCCTGAATGTAGCAGTTTTTGTCATGCCTTGAAAACAAATTCCCAATGAAGAAGTCACTTTAGTGGAGGAACAAGGAGCAGGAGAGAAAGCTCTTCCCTTTTTATTGCCTGCCACTCCCTCTTGGGAGAAAGAGAGGGAGGCAGCAGAGGAATGGTAAGGTGTGTTCTTTACTCCTATTGACTAGATGACTTGCTGTCCCAATCAGGTCTGGCGGTGGTCCTCTCCAGCAAGCCTAGAGGTCATGGCAGAGGTCATGGAGAGAAGTCAGGGATTTCTACTTGGGGTGGATGGGCAGTGGGGAAGAGAAGACATACAGCTCCATGGCTGAATGAAGCAGGATAGTATGAGAATGGACAAATGGAGTTCTGCAGATACCAAATCTGCCTTAGGTTTCTCCCCATGCAAATGTTTACACAGAGGAACTCTTACAGCATTTTCTACTGGGAAACACTCCTTTCTTACTAGATCCTTTTGATTCATCTTCAGTATGTCCTAGCAACAATCTGACACAGAGATGGAGGCTCTTATGTGAGGACATGTCCTCAATAACAAGAGAACAGGCCATCGGTAGACAGCCAAGGGAATCTCTTGAAGGACAGGAGGAAGAGCCATTATCAAGGCAACTGTCAGATAAATGGGGCCTGTGCCTGGGTCAAGAAAGGAAGCTAAATAAATGCCTCAGATGAACCCCTCCTTAGTTTACTAGAAGATAAAGGGAGGGAGAAGGAAGCACATTCAGACTTGCAAGATTATGTTACTATAGTTTTACAATAAAAATAGATGTGACTTCTTTGGCACTGGTTTCCTAGTCCAGTCTACCTTGAAGGGAAGGCATCATTTCAGATGATCCATATATTTCTTCACTGGTAATTGCCAAATAGTTACAAAGGCAGACATAGCTAGTCTCTGGATTTTCATATAGTAGAGAAATAAAATAGTAGAGATTTAAGAGGGTGGTCTCCTTTTATGACTTCTAACAAACTTCCCACCATGGTCTGTCAAAGTGATTGTCTCTTGACCATCTTACAGGAAGGGACTGTCCTTCTACATATTAATAAAATGTCCTAATTAGATAGTATGCAAAAGAAAAGATTCCTGTAGCATACTTCACTTTTGCTGCCCTGCTCATTCATACTGCCTCCTAGAGTTCGACTTTAAAATCTCATACAGTCCAGAGAAAGCAAATAACAAAAATGAAAATTCTTTTTAAAAATACATGCAGATAGAAATACTACTAATATTTACTTACCTGTATTCTTTCTTTTTGGACACCAGACGGAGCAATATATATTTCATTGCTGGGAGGGAAGGAGAAATCAGAATTGTAATTGTACGCAGAAGGCAACAGGAAAAACTAAACTTCATTTACAGACATAACAGGATATACAATAATTGCTTCTGCTACTACATTTTGGCAACTGTGCTTAACAAATTGCCATAGATTTGGTTAGCTCGAGAATAAACAGCATTAATGCAATGGAGCTACATTTATAAACCCTGACATTTTGTCTCACCAGTCAATGCAATTGTATAGAACAAGCTTCACTGTAAATTGTACCAGTGAAAAACACACAGTTATTGCAGAGACATAAATCAATTTAATTAAAAGAAGCTATAGGGTCCTGCATGGAAAAGTGGAAACAGAAAGCTTTATAGTATAATGACTATGGTTAAAAAGGGAAAATGTTTCACACATCTTTATAAAATCTGTGGGACAGGATAAAATACCCTCCTTTAAGAATTACTATTTTAATCATAGTTACTTTTGGAATCATGAAGAACAGGGACACCTAGTGGTTAATTAGTCAGGTGAAACCAGATTTTCTACTGTTTGAAGGCAAAGTTAGCATTATTTTTATATCAGAAAGAAGTGGCAGAGATTCTATCTTCATGAGTCAGATCTCACTGGATCATTAGATTGTCAAGCAAACAGCAAAAAAAACCTAGAGCACAACTATTGGCAACGTTAAGAATTTAACCATTTGTAATCTGTTTGTTAATGCTAACACATTCTCCAAGTCACTTAGGGCAATATGCTTGCTCTAATCCATTGCATTTTTTTGGCTTTAGTATGTATAGCATTTGGCTGTAATGCAGATAACTGATAATGGAAAAATGAAAAAGTAGTTCTCTTCCCTGGAAAAAAATTGATTTTATAATTTTCCTGCTTACCCTAAAACAGATCATTATAAAAACAGTTTCATCAAATATATATGAGCAACTGACACAAACAGAGCCGCAATAATACTGACCACTTATTTAAAATCCCTTTTAACTGGAAAGGACAATATATTGTATTCTGAAATGTAAACCTGCACATGCACAAAAATATTACTTTCAATCTACTATTTGAAATTATTGAAAAATATAAACCCATTAATTTATTATGTGACTGGCGTTTTTTTTTTTTTTACTCTGAAGAGGATCAGGTAAATAGCTACATTTTGCTCAGCAGAAACATCTTAAAAACAATTTAAAATATTTCTATTAGGAATACTTGTAAGAGCCTGGTGGCACTGTGGTTAAAATGCAGTATTGCAGGCTAATTCTGCCAATTGCCAGCAGTTTGATTCTCACCAGTTCAAGGCTGACTCAGCCTTCCATCCTTCCGAGGTTGATAAAACGAGGACCCAGACTGTTGAGGGCAATGACTCTGTAAACTGCTTAGAGAGGGCTGTAAAGCACTGGGAAGGGGTATACAAATCTAAATGGTAGTGGTAGTGCTATTGCTATTAAGCTATCTCAAAAGTTTCTTTGTGCAAAATTGATCATTATTGCCAGTAAGGTCTTCCCTTACTGTGCTTCGACATTTTCAACCTTGGTGCTCTGGACCCAACTGTTGCCATCACTGTTTGGATTCAAAGAGCGCCTGATGGAATCCTGACTGGAATCTGGGGATACAGGAACATCAGTAGCAGAAAACTGTTCTTCCCTGCTTTTTCCAGTACATTCTAGCTCCTAGACCCCAATAGTCTGCAGGGCCACTCCCCAGAAGGGATCAAAGGGGGCAGAAGATCTTTACTGTCATTTGAAGCAGAGTTTAGTACTCACTTAATAAAGAAAACATTGTTTTTCTATTACTTTTTGATTTAAAAATCCATGATTTTGGAGGTTAGTTTTGAGTATGTGAATCAAAGATCTTGGATAAAAAGAGGTATGACAGGGTTTATAACCCCTGTGTTTTTACCTAAGGATTCTCTTTCAGTATGTGAGTAAACATTTCCCTTATCATGAACCAATAAATCTTTCTTATGCCTAAGATTGAGATTAAAAAACGTTGGAACAATTTAATTTGAAGGAACAGAACTTGCCTTAGGAAGTTATTTTATGTAGACAGATTACATGATTTTCCTTTTATTACCACTATGTGGAGCTAACAAACCACAAATTAAAGTACTGACATGGTTTCTTTCAACTAGAATAGATTTTCCAGAAATTTCCAAGCCACCAATAAAGCAGTTTCAGATTGATAACATTTGGGAGAGTATATCTGTATACAGAATAAACAAAATGAATTCCCTTCAGCAAGAAGGGAATTTGAATTTTTAAAAGACATTGTGGTATTATGGCTGAGATTTTTTCCCCCCATTTTGAGGGAGATTTCCAAACTTCCATAGTTGGGAAAAAAGGGGATTTCCTATTTCATCAGGTTGAATGGCTGTACTTATCTAACTAGACAATCCATGCCCTGTTGGCTCATCAGTTCTGAAATATGAGAAATCTTACCTAAATAGAGAAACTGAATGACTACGAATGGGCAAAAAAGCAGTGGGTGTGGGAGCAATTTCCAACTTCCTGCTAGCTTCCCTATTGTGTTTACTTAATTATAAAATATACTGGGCGCCCATCTTACCACTGGGTAACTCCTTCCCAGTTTCCTTCTCCCCTCTCTCCCTTCCTCTTTCTTCCATCTTTCTTCCCTCCCTCCTTTTCTTCCTTCTTTATTTTTCATTCCCTTCTTCCTCCTAAACTCCCTTCCCTTCTTTCTTCTCTAGAATCCCTGCTGGCTTTTCCATGGGGGAAGCTTGCAGAGAGAAAGTCAGTGGGGAAGACAATAATCATTTGTAAGTCCAAGGCCACCAGCCAGATAAGTAACTGCTGTTGAATGGAGGAGGGAACAAGGAGGTGCGTGGAGATATTGGTCAGGAAGCGTGTGTGAGGGTACACAACAGCTACCTTCCTGGTCAGGAAAGGTGTAAGGGTGGTGGATCATCAAGGGTGCATGGGGATGCGTAAGAGGAGCTGTGTGGGTCAGGGATGGTGTGGGAATGTGTGTGTCATGGGTCAGGGAAGGTACATAAAAGAGGTTGTGCATGTTGAAGATGATAACTGGGGTTGGGTGGATTGAAGAAAAAATGGGAGCCTTGCCTGTTCCTCCCAATTCCTTTCACTCCTTCCTTTCCCTTTCTAGGCAGATAAATGTGGTTGCTGCAGGATGCAGAAGTGACTAAAGCAGTGGCCCCAAACCATTTTGGCACCAGGGACGTTTCATGGAAGACATTTTTTCCATGGATGGGGAGGGGGAGATGCTTTAAGTTTTGCTTGATCACCACTGTGCAGCCTGGTTCCTAACAGACTGATACCCGTCCATGGCTCAGGTTTGGGGACCCCAGGACTAAAGGATTGTGAGAGTGGCTGGAAAACTATAACACAACATTAAAAATGATAATGTGATTGCTACAGCAACTTTACAGCTCTAAATCAGTCACAACCTTCCCACATTTCATTCCCTCACAAGTCATGAATTTGGACGCATTCTGTAAATCAGCCCATTTGAGGAACCTTGGTTCAAAATTGTTGCTCTATGATCCACTGTTTTGCTTAGTTAAAGATCACAAAGTTTCTATAATATATAGACAGACTTATTTGTGTTCTAGTAAATAGGTCAGTCAATGCAGGTGTTTTATTTTTAGTGATTTTGTATAAATAATGTGTGTTGTCATTGTAAACAATTCATATGTACATTTTTTTAGAAATACTAAAGAGATGTCTATATCTATTTCAGTGGTGGCGAACCTATGGCACAGGTGGCACGCAGAACATGCATGCTGTCACCCCCAGCTCAGTTCTGGCACGTATGTGCATGTGCCAGCTGGTCTTTGGGTCTCTGCCGCACATGTGTGGAGGTAGAGGTGCGTGCATGCATGCAAGGGAGCACGTACGAGTTGCATTTTGGGTATGCATTCAAGTATATGCGCGTGCTTTTGGCACGGTGCCAAAAAGGTTCGCCATCACTGATCTATTTTGTGTACTACGGTCAATCAATAGATTTGTGAATTATGCTAAAACAATTTGAATTATTTAAGCATCTCAAATACTCTAAAATCTTTATCATATTCCACATTTTTGAGTTATTAAACTATATGTAGTTTTCTCCTACATCAGGAGATAAATAATATCTACTTAGTTTTGAGTTGCCTGAAGAGTGTCATGAATCTTAATATGTGTCATGCCCCTGTCGGAATCTGATTCAGAGGGGGAGGCCGAACAGTTGACAGGGAGTGTGGCTCCGTGTGCTCTGGAAGAAACTGGGGAAGCGCAAAGTCTAGGTGGGCAGAGCAGGTGAGAGATAGAGCAAGGGAGAGGGAATTCAGAGGAAGACCCTGGCCCACCCCCTCTTCATCCTAGTGCACGCAGGGAGGAATGGAGAAGTGAGCAACGTGAATTGCATGGCTTACAGGGGAGGAAAGGGCCCTGATTCCCTTCATTAGCTGCAGCTGGGAACACACTGTTTATAAAGGGAATGTGCGCACAGCAAATTGTTGGGAGCAAATTGTGAGTTATCTGGTATCCTCAAGGCTTATCTGTGTTCCTGGCATCTTCCCAGCTGTGTGTGTTTTGGCTGTGCTTTCAAGTCTGCAATTCCTTCTCCTACCCTGTCCAGTTAATTACTGCAGCGTGGTTTGTTTGGTTTTTTAGTTACAGTTTATATGTACTTTGTGTTTGGACTGAGTTTCCTCCACTTAGACTGTTCCTGGGAGAGTTTTTTCTCCAGCCAAAGGTAATCTGGACATAGGGGGCAAAGTTGGAGATAATAAAGGGACTCTTCTTGCTTATTTGACTGTGTTGCCTTTGTGCCACACCCCGGGTCATCACAATATGTGTTGTATTTTATTTTTCAGAAACTGTTATTTTTTAAAAACCGGCATGAGTGAAAACGATTTTAAAACTTCTAATATTATTTACCCATGTTTCATGCTGATTCCTCCACCAGTTCCTGTAACCCATCCTAAATGATAAAATTGCCGACAAAGTTCTGGAATCAAATTCCTTGGGTGCACATTTTCCTATAGGAGAAACAAAAATATCTGATCATTTCATATTTTTAAAAAATATATCTGCAGTGGTTAGTTTATTATTTGGTTTAAAGATATGCATTACAGTATTTATACAGCCTGTAGAAAATCTCTGGGGTTCCCAGAATCATGTAATTGAGATGAGCTGCTATATAAATCAATAAACGATTATTGAGAGTCAACACTGTACAGTCAACACTGACTCTACAACAGAGTGGTATCTGCCCTGTCAGGTAGATCATACTGAATCTAATGCCATATAGATCAACTACTACTTTTATTATAAATCTACAGTAGTAGACTCTTGCAAATTTGAATGTACCTCTTTCCTCCCCCCACCTTTTTGAGAGAACTAGGGATAGTTTTGTCCAGAACATTTACTCAAGTTACATTCTGGCAGTTCTTTCTGTTATCCGTCAACGCCGTTTCTTTTTCCCTCTAGAGGTGGTGATAATTGCATGAGTTATTCGAGCTAGGTCCTCCTACCCCTGATAAGTATGCAACAATGCACCAACTAAAGATGGTTTTAGGTTTCTCTGGCTTGCTTTCTACCTGCTATTCCAGCCAAAGCCAAGAATCCAAGTTGTGAGCTTGCTCTCTGATGGCTAATGCTTACCCCTCAAGGAACAATTCTGCTGGCTGAGAACTTTAATGAATCTACAGTAGCTCATCTTATTAGGATTCAATTTTAGAATATTCTCTTATCTAGACCGTGACAGCATCTAAGGCATTAGGAAAGGACATTGACAGTATTTCCCTCATAACTCACAGTAGCAATTTATAATTGGGTATCATCCACATATTGGTAATATGGCAACCGAAACGATGGGATGGCCTCTCCCAGCAGCTTCATATAGATGCTAATGGCATTAAAAGCCGCTGAGAGGTCCAGTAAGACCAGGGTGCACTATGTCCCTCAAGTCTTGACAAGTTGTTTAGGAGAAGTTTTGAATATACCTTAAGATGTGTAACAGATGTTTTAATTTATATTTCATTATGATTGGATAGCCATACATTTTCTTAGAAAAGAACCACTTCCTTTTTCAGATAAAAAAGACAAATTAAGTTTCTCAAACTCATTCCATTTGTTTGAGTAAAGCTGTCAGCATAATCAACTTTAAAAATGGCTTTTAAATGGAGTTTTCTCTGAAATCATCACTAACATCTGCAGTTTGACATCCTTCACTTACCACATTTCAACAGATGCAAAATAACAACCCTAGAACAATTAATGTGAAAGGACGTTGACAGAATGCAGCTTTGTACAAGCTCTTCACCACTAATATGGATGTGGTTATAGAAACAAAATGTCCTTTGTAATTGTTTATATTACTATATATAGTCTAGCCTTTATACATGTACCCTTGCAAAATATTAGACATAATTCCATAAGCTGAAAGGTTTTTCTCATTCAGTATCTTTCAAGATAAGCTGCAGCTTATGTTACATGGAAGTAATGGCAGACATTTGTGAAAGGATTCACCAAAGTTTTATAAAATTATTGTTAAGCCATAAGGCTGAAATACATTTGAGAAAAAAACATTCCCAACTTTCTTTAACTGCATTTCTAAGAAAGATTAGATATCTATTGTGTTTCCTATTAAATTGTACAAGGGCTATGAACTACATTTTATTTTTTATTTGTTTAATGCAATTCATTCTCTTATAGACTTTTTTTCCCATTCAATTCTGATCAATTATTGGAAAATGTCTGCAAAAAACCCTGCACTTTTCTTGGCACAGCTTTTCAAAAGAGGGCTACCATTACCACTTTCTTAGGGCTGAAAGAAAGTGACTGGTCCCAGATCACTCAGCTGGTTTTGTGATTTGTGTGGGACTAAAACTCATACCTTCCAGTTTCTAGCCTGATGCCTTAATCACTACACCAAATTGGCTCACATATTCTTTCTAATCTCAAACTAAATCAAGGCTGTCTTCTGTATAAAAGATAGCTATCTGAATTTTCTCCTAAACTGTAAAAGAACCTTGGGTCAAACATGTTATCAGTACATAATTCTCTGAGTTAGATTTATGTTAACTATAACAATACTTTCTGGAATAGTTGTGCAGCATCTTTTTTAAAAAAAATTCTGTTGCTTTCCATAGTCTGGCTAATATTCAATTTATGGCTCTGAAATGATACATTTTATGGTCCTTCCTTTGTGTAAGTTTCTCTGACATAGTGTCACCAAATTTGCCAGATTTAAAATTAAGAGTAAGGTATGTGAGATCTTTTCTATTAAATTATTTATTTATTGCCCTCCCCCCCAAAGAATTCTTTTCATTGGCTTGTAATCAAATATTTTTTTCTTGGAGATTTTTAATAGCTGACTCATAAAAATTAAACTGCACAAGTGGAGCTACTCATCTGGCAGCACCAAGCAAATGTTATCCCAAACAGCAAGTAGCAACACCAAGCAAATGTTATCCCAAATAGCAAGTAGCCAATACTTATTCTACTTTTAAAATCCTTACTAAATGCTTTCTTATCTTTCAAGCTGCACTTGTGTGATAGTGACTTGATACAAAAAAAATCTTCCCAAAAAAGTTAAGTGCACCTGACAGCCAATAAAATTGGCCATCTTTAATTTAGTGTTCCATGAATATTGAGCATATGTTCTCATTTTTCCTCTACATTGAGTATTAACACTTCATTAATGGGAAACTAATAATTTGCTAACATAGTTGAATTGACTTTTGCTTCAAAAGTTTTCTCACTGTACATCAAATTATAGAAAAGTCCTAACCAGGTCAATCCGAACAAGGCTTGCAATTCTATTTTTGATGTAAATTGACAAATTATAGTTCAGACCCAATGGCAAACTATGTTTTGGCACGAAAAGGAGGAAACTGATGGTTATATTTGCATGATTTCCATGACACATAATTTTAATTAAATTTATATGCTGCCAATCTCACTCTGCAAAGTGACTCTACTGTACATACGAGGATTGTGAAAAATTCTTCTTTACAAATGGATAATTCCTGCTAAGCAAGTCTTGTAAACAAGAACCAAATTGGGAAAGGTTTTTCTATGTTTAGTGCAAAGGGCAAACCAAGGACTCTCTACTGGAGTAATTTATAGACTGGAAAATCAGGAATAAAACAAGTTTTCCTTCTGTGGCCATTTGTTTTTGTTTCTTGATTTTATTGAATAAACTTCAAATCAGAAGCTTTAAAACAAAATAGCTATGTTTCCAGGTATTCTTGCCATTATTTTATAAACCAGAGTTTGTTGAATAGAGCAACATTGAGAAGCAAAGATCGGTGCAGAATGTCATACATATACCAGCCAAACCTATTAAGATTATTGATATCCATGTGACAGAACTCCCAACTTCCCAAGCATAGATGTGAAATTTGGGAGTAAGTGTCACATATAAAGAGGGTCAAAACTGGAAAAGATTGAGTGGGCATCATGTAATAACCCAGACAATTATCAAATTTGGCATGGAGATGGCTGTAGTAGGTCAGAGGGAAATGTGAAATTCATGTAGATCGATTTGGGATTTTCTTGTCAACCCCTTTGGTAGGTACTTTTTTTAAAAAAAATTGTGTTAAATTCATTTTAGACCTTATACTGTAATTTGGTGCACTTCCAATCTTAACATTTATCATCATCTTTCCAATCTTATCTGGGTTGGAAACTAAACAGAGTTAGACATTATTAGTACCTTAATAGGAAACCACAAGGAATATTTGGGCTGTAAGTTAAACTGTAAATTCAAAAAATATCCTGAAGATAGCAATGGCTACCAAAAAACCTGCATGTTTGGGTCTTTGAAATGATTAAAGCTTGAGCCTGAGGTCATCATTTTACTTTTTTATTGATTGATTTATAGGGAAAAAGCCTTATATACATAATGTCAACTATATGCAAGTTTTTGGTCAGACAGTTCTGTGGATTCAGTTGTCCATGCTTGCTTTGTTTATTAGATTTATATCTGTTTTTTCATTGACTTAAAGGTAGCATACATAGTGCTCTTTCTTCCTATTTTTCCTAGCTACTACAATCCTACAAGGTAGTTTGGGCTGAAAGACAATGATTGAGAAAGTATCATCTACAGCAGGGGTTGCCAATTTTTTGGACCTCAGGGACCACCAAACTCATTATTTTAAATCCCGCGGACAACTATATGAATTTTGACTGACGGTGGCTTGCTAACGTTTTCCCAGAGTCTCTGCAGAAAGCAGCAGAGACCCTGGGAAAATCCCAAAAAAAGTCTGCAGGAAAATTCCCCATCCCGTTCTCCTACAGATTGCTCATTCTTTATTTGGGATCGCAGAATACCATCTCCAGCTCCATTCTTGGGGGGGGGGGGGGGGGGGGAGAGAATTGGAGAGAGACTTTTGGCTTCATGCAAGGAAAGCAGCAGAAACAGCGTATGTCTTTCTTTCTCTACCCCAAACTCCCCCAGAAATGAATCTTTGTGAGACCTGTTGCGCTGGCGCAGCCTCTTGGACCAGGATGCCTTGCAGGATCCCAAAGACTCATTTCTGGCGGAGTTTGGGGGAGAGAATGAATGACTTTTGCTGCTTTCCTTGCGTGCAGCCAAAAGCAGAAGAAGCTGAAAGAAGCAGCCCGGGAGCCAGGCCAGACGAGTAAGGCAAGTAGGACAAGTTTCCTCCCCTCCCCCCGTCGTTTCCCTCATCCCCTCACTCGTGTTGTTTGCAATGCAAGCAACGCAAGCCTTGTGTTCCCATGGGCCAGGTGGGCAGTGCAGCCTTGTGTTCCACTCAGTCTGGATTAATTGCTTTGGGGGTGACATTTCTCTGCAGATCACCAAAATTTTCTCACAGACCACCAGTGATCCCCGGCCCACTGGTTGGCGACCACTGATCTATTCAGTACATGTTCAAAAATGGAAAGGTGCGACACTATGCACAATAGAGTAATGGCTGATGAAAATGATGGAACTTGCAGGTTTGGCTAAATTGACTTCTTAGCTTGGAGAAAAAAACAATATTTACAATTATGGCTGATTGCAAGAAACTAGAAAAAAACTGCACCTATGATTTGTGGATTGATGACTTTTGTAATCATAGAGTAAGAGTTAATTGTGTCAACGTACTTAATTTTTTAAAATATTTATTTTTTTTAAAGGAAAACGGTAGGACGTGATCAATCTTTGCACTTGGTGGAAAACTACCAGGCTCACAATTAACATTAGACACCCCATGACTCTACGATGTCCGTTGCACTAATCTTACCTAATAATAAATCCAAAAATCGGATGTTGCATCAGAAAGGTAAACTCCACAGTTCGTTCTCAGTTCAGTACTATATCCAAGTACCTGCCTGGCATCTTCCCTGTCTACATTTACTAACAGTCTGCATTAATTCTTCCTGACACATTAAATTTAAATAAATGTGCCGACCACAAGCGAAGACTACTTTCCTGTTGCGTTTTGGGCTTTTACTACTATAAATAAAGGCAGCAATGTCGAATTTTTATCGATCGTGTGCCATCTACTCATTTTCGTCTCCTAGCGATGTTTCTGGCCACACCTTTAAGCAAAAAAAAATAAAAAATCAAGTTTGCTGGCCCGACCTTAATCAGACCGACCTGCAGGAACCCTCCCGTTAGGGGAGCGATCGAATTCTAAAACTCGACCTGGACCTAGCAAGCAATGACCCATGCTCGCCACCTGAGGGTTACTGCGCTCCTTCTCCCTCTTCTTCGCCTCTCATGGATGAGAACTGAATCGGCGGATGCCGCTGAGCGCGCCCCGTTACCTTTGCTTCTTCGAAGCCGTTCTTGTACGGACAAGCGCAGTCCCCGAAGGGCTCCGCCATAGCGCTTACAGCCAGTAGACTAGAGCCTTCTTAGGGCCGGAGGTGCTCCGTTCGGAGAAAGACCCGAGCCCTTCCGACTCCGGCGCGGGGAGGAGCCTCCTCGCGTATGTGGGAAAGTGGCGGTGCATAGAGCAATGGGGTGAGGATGGGGAGGTCGCAGCTTTGGGCCACCGACCGGGAATAAAGTTGATTTACTTGAGCGCCCGTGAATTAGATCCGTTGCACCGTTACTAAATGGGCCGTAGTCAATAAAAAAAGGGCGTATATGCCCGAGAAGAAACGCACAGTTTGCAAACATAACTCCAAATGCTTCTTTGCAAGCTTTTTTTTCTAATATCTATTCTTAGCATGTGACTTTTCTTTAGGTGTTTTTTTTTCCAGATCGCGCTTTGGTTTGGTTAGATTGTGTGGAAACAGACGAGGCCTTTACAACCTGGTAACGTGCTTAGGCAATTGAGACAGTAGGATATACGCAGATGTAGATTCATAAAACACCGCCTTGTCCATCCTTTCCTCGCCGCCAGGTACCTGACTGTTTAATAGTCTGTTTTAAAGTGGCGGGATCGCTTCTGTTTTCCTCCAGAACATATCAAATGATATTTCCTTAGTTATTTCAAAATTGTTTTTCCCTCCCCCAAACAAAGCATGTTAAACATCAGATTGCTGGTGCCAAATTCTGCATTAAACAGATGTAAATTGCTATTGTTTTATGACCGGATAACCAAGTAGACTTCTAAAGGAAGTTTTATTCTGCAACAACTGATTAGATCGAACCTATCAGGCAATTCATATTTCCCCCCATAATTGCTTTCAATGTTTACTATTCTGCTGATAAGCAGTACAGAAAATGTCAGATGCTATTATCGTATATTCCATTTATATGCCCTTTGTGAAGTGGCAATAAAGAAATGTGGCTTGGCATGGGAAGATGTTTGTGTCCCAGAATCACACACTGTTTTACTCTTAAAATACTGGGAGGCAGTGAACTGTGGCCCGATACACATACATAAGAAATTGGGTGAAGTTGTATTCATAAAAAAAAAACCTTGAAATAGAAAAAATGTAGTGAAAGAAGTCGGAATCTGCATTCTGTTTAGTGCAAATTGCGCTTTAATAGTGCAAATTACACTTTCACAAAAGTCAGAGTGGCTTCTTCATTTTTTTAATAGCAATCACAAATAAAAAATATGTAATGAAAGAAGTCGGAATATGCTTAGTGTTCGGTGCTAATTGCGCTTTAATTATACAAATTAAAGTACTTCCACAAGAGGTTTTTTTTTTTCCTTCCCCTCTTCAAAGAATGCGTGGCTGGCGTATGACTACCTGAGTTCGTGAGCGAATTTCAGGCAGAAAAGACACCTTGCCGTGGTGGGAATACTTTTTTCAGGCAATGCGATAGACAGCCTGGCCTCGGAAGGGGAGGGAAAGGGGGAAAGATGGCAGCCTCCTTGAGGCTGATCCATCGCTGCAGAGGGACGATCAATCGCTTGCTGGGCAGAAATTTAATGCGAGTGCCCCTCGGTTCCTTGTCCCAGGTGGCGGGTTGCAAATTCCTACATACGACCCCGGAAACCTTGGGTGAGTACCTAACTATTCCCGGGAAAGTTGCTGTCTTAGTCATTTGTTGTTAAACCGGGGGTTCGCCTGGGTGAACCGATGAAGGCAGCAAAAGGGTGGGGCTGTGCTTATAGGCGTGGTGGGTTCAAGAAATTAGCAAGGAATAGCAACGGGTGCCAAATAGCCAGGATGTGGAGCTGAATGCAAAGTTTGTATTGCTTTGACTCCTGGTATACAGAAAGCTCTTTTGCAAGCGGCTGGGGCGGCTTGAATGAGCTTTACACTTTCTATTAATGTAGCTCCATTTCTTTCAGTCCCTTGAAGGTTTGCTTTCCTTTCAGAATCAACGAATTAATTTCAGAAGTTTGGCTTCCTGAAATAACGTAGGCCAAAGGGAGAACTATTTATAATATAGGGTTAAATAAGGGATCCCAAGAGCGGGCCGCCAGCCTTTTGTGAAATGGAATGTTTATCAATAAACATATTTTACATTCTGCTCTAGAATATGTCCTCAAAGAGTTAATCGTGTAGGGTAAATATTAAATATAGAGAAGCAAAGCATTGCTGCCATATTTCACCCCATGCTACTTATTAAGGGGAAGATTTGCAAAATAGTGGGGGGGAAACACTGCCAATTTCAGCCAGAATGCTAACGATTAAAATGTGCTTTAATGATGCATTATATTTATAGTAAAGCCATTTTCCATACTTTCAGCACTTCATACATATGTTGTATTTAATAACACAAAATTGCATATTGATTCATATTTAGAAAATTTGTGTTCAGTCTAAAAGATAAAGTGGCAGATAATTAATAGGAAGTATATCTAACTATGACAATTGAGATTTATTTCCAGCCATTGTAAAACATTATTCCCCATCACTGTGGTCATATTATGGCTCACATTTCTAATCAGTTCTAATCAGTGCCTTGCAATCATGTGATTGCCATTTGTAATCTCTGCCACTATACTAGAAAGTCAGCGAGGTAGGTTGCAGGGAAAGTTGGAAGCAGAGGGAATGGGGAGCTATAGATTTTAATCAGTGTGAGTATCTCATTGATGATAGTATAAGCAGTTAAGCATTAAATAAAGGATCAGTGCAAATATCTAAATTACCTGTCCTAATTTGGTTCCAGGGAAAAATGGGTTGTTTTGCAATTATCAGTTTTTGCTCCTTAAGATTCCTGAGTATTCATTCAGTGGAATGATCTCGTAAATTGTGCATAAAGGCTAAAATCTAACCAATGGCCCTGGACCGTTGGAGTCTCACAATATCATAAACTTTTAACATTGTTATGTACATTAATATATATAAATTATATTAATGTGTGTAGACATAAATATAACACGCACATATTTATATATTTTATATGCTGCCCAAGGCAATTCCTCTTCTTTCTTCACTGAGTGTGGCTGAGGCAAGCCAAAAGGTTAAACACCCAAGGACTAAATGCTAAAGTGTCCTTGAATTGCTAAATCTAGCTTGTCAGTCATGCAGCATTCTTGCCAGCATTGCCTTTTTCTAAAATGTTTTTTTTTCAGTGTTCTTTTGTCTTTGATTACGGAGGTTCCTGATGGTCTCTTTTTTTCAAGCTTTAACAAGTCTCTCACGGCTATATCTCTGTTATGATACATAAGGGAAGGTGGACTATACCATTCTGATATCACTTCAAGTAAATCAAAGCCTATGCCTCAAAAATTTAAGGAACACCTTTCAAAAATAAAGTATTTACTTCAATTAAAAGTTATTTGAATTGCAGTAGGCTATGAAAAATTCCATGCAGGTTGATGAATATGTTTGAGAAGAGTGATCCTCATGGTTACAAAAGACCTGCTTTTTCCTTGACAATCCATTAGGCAGAGGTGGGCTGTTTGATGAGGAGGAGTGGGTTTCTGACCCTCTTCTGCTGGCATAGAATTTCAAAATAATTTTGGGGGCGCCTCTGTAGATTCTGTCCATTCAAAGTTTGATTACCCATCTAAAATGAGATCACATTTCGCAATACGATCTGCTTTTGCAACTTCATGTCAAGTTATCTTTCTTGCTTAATCCACACCTATAATTTTTTTTGCTACTTCTAACACAACTAAATAATGTTACAGGTCAGTTACAGGTAGTACTTGACTTATGATTGATGACTTTGTGACCATTTGAAGTTTAAGACTCTCCTAGGGATACTTATGACCTGGATTCAAATTCTGATGGCCCTTCTCTCCCCCCCCCCCCCCCCCCCCCAAAACATGATTGCACTTTGGGTGCTCAGCAATTGGCCCACATTTATGGTCATTTGCAGCATCCCATGGCTAAGTGATCACATTTTATGATGCAGAAAAGATCGCAAAATTGAGTCGGTCACAGGAGTCACCTGATTTACAATTGGGAAGAAGGCTCCATTATCGTCATAACTCAATGATTATTAAGTTTTTCTTTATAGGTTTGTATAATTTGGATTTATTACGTATTGCTTTAGCCTAATTTGGGATCAGTATACCAGATTACACTAAAAACTAATGTCCTCCAAACTCCCCAGTCAATTAGACCATCAGCAGTGTTCTTGGAAACACCAAAAACAGACTGAGAATGTTTTACTTTTGTTTCTCATGTCAGATATGACATTGTTAAAAGTAGTTTTTGAACACAGTTGGAATAGATTTTGCTTTTCAGAATTTAGCTTTGTATTTTTGTACTCAACTTTTTAATACATGTCACCCAATCTACCTTTTCCATCGCCAATGAGTAGCTGTTAAGGATATATTAGGTCAACTAGGTTAGCTTATGGCCCAACTTTCTTCACAGCCTGTAGTTACTCTTCCTTCAGTTAAGATTGTCCTCATAACAGCATACATGGTTCTGTGAATTTGGTACACAGCTTGGGGGAAAATCACTTGTCTTATTTTTATAGTAGCTGATAAAAATTTCTTTCCATATATTTACAGATTAGGATTTACTGTGTTGGCTGTTCTCATGAAACAAACAATATGATATTGAGGATGATATTACATTTTTTTTCTGGTCCTAGGTATCCCTGCTATTAAAATCACTATGCCTGCTTTATCACCTACAATGGAAGAAGGAAATATAATGAAATGGCTGAAAAAAGAAGGTAAATCTGAGCTATTACAATATATATTTTATTGTTTACAACTATAAGTTTCAAACACAGTGCAACCATTTTGGCATTACTCTGCCATACATACAAAAATATTACTAAACCATTTACATATTATTGATACCGTATTTTCATGCTCGATCTATTCCTCCTAGCTATTTTTGTTCACAGCCCATTCTTTATCTAAAAACAAATAATTTAGTTCATTACAGTTTTTAACAAAACTCATTGTGTTTTAAATTAAATGATTTTACTTTAAAATTACAAACTATAATTTAGTTCATAAACTTAATATAAACTATGAATTCAAAACCTATGCAATTTGTTGAAAAAATTGAATTTTATTTTCATTTTACAGGAGAAACGGTGAATGTTGGAGATGCCCTATGTGAAATTGAAACAGATAAGGCAGTGGTTACAATGGAATCAAGTGATGATGGCATATTAGCTAAAATAATGGTAGGAGTAATTTAAGTGATTATAAATTATGCTCCTTAGAATATTATGACCTTTAGAATATATACTTAAGTTTCACTAGACTTAGATTTATTTTTCGTGATTTTAAGTGTTTTATTAGAATTTCTTGACCCAGTTTAGTCTTTCCCTTCTCAGGCATGATATTCTTCCGATTAAAATAGGAATTCCGATTTTTTTGGGAATCGGCCCCTCCTTTCCCCCCACCCCTTCTCCTCCTTCCCCTCCCCTTGGAGGCCCCGAGTCAGGAGTTGCTGGCGCGGCTCCACGTGGCTCCAGTCCCGCGTTGCCTCAGGCAGGGAAAGGCAAAAAGGAAGAGCCGCGGTGGCGCTTTGCAAAGGCAGCAGCGGCTCCTGGTTTTGCCTTTCCCTTCCCGAGGCAACGTGGGACTGGAGCCGCGTGGAGCTGCGCCGGCGGTAGCAACTCCTGACAGCCCCAGCCGGATACCTGAGCGGAGCCTGGGCGGTGTGAGCGGAGGCCGCTGAGCGGGAGGAAAAGGGAGCTGGGCCAGCCACAGACCAGCCTCCGTGCAACACGCCGCCGCCCGGCCCCGGCGAGGGAAAGCAGCGGGCGCTCCCCGGGCGCGCGGTGGGGGGTCTCTTTTGTCCGGCCCCGATTTTTTTTCCAGAGCGGAATATCATGCCTGCTTCTACAATACATTGAAAATTACTGTTTGCTATTGATTTGTTAACAACACATTTTCATTGAAGTGTAACATTTTTGAATGTTACCTTTTTTATTAGTTTAAGGATAAATTATATTTTGGTAAAACAGTTTATTATTCAAGCCTACTCTGTGTAGGCTTGTTTTGGTTTCAGAAAATGATTGCTAGCTGAATCTGACAAATACCTGCTTTTGAAATCATGTGATTATTCAATGTTGCCTAACACCATGCTTTGGTTTGAGAGAAACATGTCACACATTACATAATTCTTAGGTTGAGTAAATATCTTTTTTGCAATGCCAATATGATGAGTAGTTGTAAAAATAGTAGAGATTCAAATATTTCTAGATTAAAAATACTGCCAATGAAGGAGATATGACAGAAAAGATCCCCAACCATTCAAAGCTTTGTGCAAAAGCACTTTTGTCAGCATATTTTGTACAAAGTCTTTATTGTAGACATTATTATTTGCATGTTAAAATCCTATTATAGCAATATCATTGCGTAAAGTTGCTTACTGTATGCAAATTCAGATCATTGTTTGTGATATGAAATCTGCAGTTGAAACTTTCTGCTTCACTATGCTATGCAAATGAGTATCATCCATAATGATATATGGATGGAGTATACCTTCCTGGGCAGTTAAGAAGAAATCAAGCAAGAAAATGCCTGTCTGGAGTTTAAGATAATAGGGCTGCATCTGAAATAATGGAACCTATCTTTCACAATGTAAGATTCACACTGTGTCAGTCCTTCAGAGCTGCTTCATCAGAAAACTCTTCTTTCAGTTAAGACCTTCATCTTCTGTAGAACATCTATGAACCTGTTTCCTGCATAAATCTTATTAGAACAATTGAGACACTTAAGAAGCAAAAACCAGTAAATATTTCTTAATAGATGATATAGTATAGAATAGATAATATGGAAAGTAAGGTCTTTTTCTAAAAGGGTTTGCATTAACTTTTATGTTAATGTTTATTTGTTTTCAATTGATCAGTTAGCTTCATCACAATTAGTTTTAGACCTTTTTCGTGAAATGTTTTTTCCTACTTTTTTGTAATTTCATTGAAAAGCAATATGTTAAATGATTTTTAGAATGGGCAAGTGATTATTTCTCAAAATCAAGCAAAAATTGATATATTTAGTTTTAGCTATCGCAACTGTTGTGGCTTCCAGTTTAGTTACAGATAGACAAATGTAAACATTTCTTATTGTATTTATGAATTCTTTCTAATAAAGATCATTAACAGTATTTGAAAAATGAGGTATATCATCCACTTCACTTAAAATCAAAGGAACCTCTGAAAACTTTTATTAATGACTCTCCTTTGGAATTCTTTATGGTTCAAAGGAAATAGAAAAGAATGAAGAAACAAAACTGGATAGTAATGAGAGGCAGTATAACTGGACAGGGGAGGAAAAGGAGAATAAGGACTAACAAGGACTACATTTACTAGGCAGGCATTTACACATTACAGAGGTCTGCAACTAGTTTTAATTCCTGCTCCTTAGCTGTCAATTTTTTGTTTCATAGCAAATGTAAGGCTCCCCCAAACCTCAATCACATACAATTTCCTGAAGATGAGTCCAAAAGCTCGAAAGACAAAATCTCTGGTCCTAGTGACCAACCCAGATTGGATCCTGTTAGTATCTTAGTTTGCAGACTGGGATTGATTGAATTTTTAAAAGTGGTTGTTCACTAAATGATGCAAAAACCTGTTAATTTCATAAGTCTGCAGTATACTTTTTTCTGTTCCATTTCAGAAGGAAGAGGGCAGTAAAAATGTGCGCTTGGGTGCATTAATTGGTTTGCTAGTAGAAGAAGGACAAGACTGGAAGCAAGTTGATATACCAAGTGATGCACCCTCTGAGTCTGTGACATCAACAGCCTCTTCCCCAACTCTCCCATTAGCTCATAAAATAGAAGAGCACCCTGGAAAAGAACAGTAAGTCTCTGGGTACCTCGTGGACTGATGTATTTCAGTACATATTTTTACTGAGTCTTCTATAGAATTTTGTATTCATGTGAGAAACTAGATTGTTCCTGATGCATAAAAATCCATATCTTAATATCCTATTCTAAAAGCTGCAGAATAATCAGGAAATAGTCAGAGTTTATATTTTAGCCTAACTTCTCACAACAATTTGTGAAAAAATTATACTTTTCTGTGCATTATCAATGGTATAGAAATAGTAAATGAAATAAATGGAAAGAGAAGCCAGTACATCAGTACATTTTTTTGTGGAAAACTTTATTTATTTACAGTGTTTATAGAACACTGACTCCAAGAAAGTAACAACCGATATATCAATAGTCAATTTTATGTATCCATACAAATCCATACAATTCACAGAATAACAATAAAATATTTCAGTAGTACAAATCTATGCCTTAGTGTCAGTATTATTGTGTGTTAGATATCAAAGGCCTCATAAAATGTTTCATCATGACTGCCATACAAAATTTAGCAAGCAGGTAATACATTTTTAAAAAAAACGGTAACATCATTTTCATCACCAAGGCAAGGTGTTCCATATCAGGGGCATAGATGTAATAAATCTTTTCCTATATAATTTACTACCCTGTTTCTCCAACAATACGGCCTCCCCCAATAGGAAGTCCCAGCATATTTTATAGGCATGAAATGAAATTAAGCCCCTCCCCCCAAATTAAGGCCTATATTAAAACATGCGAAATGGGGGGGGGAATGCGGGGGGCTTGCCATTAGGAAATACTTTTGTTGCACACCCGGATATGGTGCTGCCTGCGTTGACCCTGATACGAAGTGCCCCACCAATGCCGAGGTCAACATCCAAGCCGTCGCCGCCCGCCCGAAGATGCAAGGGGGGGGGGGAATTAAGTCACCCCCGAAAAGACAGCCTAGCCATTTTTTCGGGGCTCAAAAAAAAATAAGACCCGGCCTTATTATATGAGAAACACGGTATTGATGTATTGGTTGTCTTAACACTTCAATGAATGGCAATACAGTTTAAGAATGGTGTTTTTTTTTTTTAACTAAATAGACCAGGCTGTGGACAAGGTAAATTAAAGTAAATTTTTATCTTACACACTTCTATCTGCATTGCTTAATTCTTTCTTAATTTTAACTCATAGGATGTCTCTAATATATCCTAATTTGATATTTGTCCATTTAGTTAAAATTGTTCATAGGTTTCAGCTTTTGGCTGCAGTAGTAACTTTTTTTTAAAGTTGCCATATAACATTATAGTTTATTAAAGGGTTAAATGGATGAAGTATTTTTTTTCACTTGTAGGTAATTCCTTTTTTATATGTAAAGGAGGAAACAATAATTGGGGCAAATTGCTATCAGTTGTTCATTACTTTAAAAGCATATATAGCATACTTGCAGTAAAGGAGCATTTTCTTTGAAGATGTGCTAAGCTGTCTTACCATCCTGATAATTATCATGTTGACCACCAACACACATCCGGAAAGTACCAGATTTTGAGTTGGGAGCAGGGACGAGGATTAGTTTGTGTCTGCAAAGTGTTGTTAAATATGATTCTTGTTGGCTATTGCTTCTCTAGATAAATTATTGTTACTTTTTAGAGGTTGTTGTAGAAGATTTCAGTATCACTTTAATGATCAGAATTGTTTTGGTATTTAAATTTTAGAAAAAAATTAAATATGGTATATATATTTATTTAATAAATGCTGTGTTACTTTTTTGTATGTACCCTTTTAATGCAGTTGTACCTTTGCTTTTTAGGTTTCGCTTAAGTCCTGCTGCCCGTAATATTTTAGAGACACATGGGCTTGATGCAAGTCATTGCACACCCTCGGGACCTCGAGGAATTTTCACAAAAGAGTATGTGAAATGTGAACTTTTTCTTTATGTATCATATTCTATAAAATATATTCCTTCTAATTTTTGTAAGAATCAACTATACCAGTTGGTATCTTACTTTCCTAGCAAATGGAACTTTGTATTAGTTGTAATAAGATCACAGACAGAAAGGAACATGGGGTTGAATGAATTAGTTTGTCAGTTGAAACTATAAAGACAGTGATATAGAAGTTCCATGACGGTATTTTAAGTTGCACACTCAATAAAATCTTATGGTGAATCACATGGGAAGTTGTAAAAGAAAGGGGAAGAAAGAGAAAGGGTGAACCAGTGTTTTTCAAACTTGACAGCTTTAAGAGGTAAGACATAAGACTTATACAGTTTACGGAGCTAAGCAACTACTATAGCATGCCTAAATTAAGCTTAACAGTGGTTTGGCAGAATTCAGGGAACAGAAGAAGAAGATCAAAGAGATGGATGAATGGAATCAAGTGGACTGTTGCAATGTATTTGGAAGAGCAAGAGTTATTACCAGGGACAAGCAGGCATCTTCCAGTACAGTCACCAAAGGTCAGGTCTGAGTCAGTGACATCAGAGTAAAGTTATACAGAATAAAGAAATTACGCAAACATTTAAAGCAGCTGATTCTTATTGGAAAATGGATACTAGAAAATTGAGCCATGCAGACTTCTCCTGAGAGCCGTTCGGATCATCCAGAGAGTGGGAGGTGCTTCAGTCTACGTCGTTGATGGCTGAGCTCAATCACTGAGGAACGCTCCGCCCTCCATCACGTGGCTCTCTTGCGTTCCCCAGTTTGCGCTCAGCCGTCGTCAAGTTAGGCTGTGCATTTCTCACTCCTTGGCCGATCCAAGACTTGCTCTCAGGTTTGGAAATATTTATAGAGAAAAACAAGTTATTTTCCTTAGCCTTCTGGCGCAGGACTGGGGATTTAAGGGGAGCGCGTTTCTTTCGCCCCCAGGGGGGTTGTAGAACGGGCGACTTCGCGCTTCGGCGCTAATCCCCCCCCCCCCAATTTGATCTCTTGCCTGCCGTTTCTCTCGCCGCGCTTGCAGCGGCTTTACTAATCGCGCTGATAAGCGCTGCTGGTATTCCCCCCCACCGCAAACGCCGCTCGCCCTAAGAAGGGGCGAAAACTTACTGCTTGACTTCCTCGGCCTCTTTTAAGGCCGGAGAAGTAAAAAACTTCGTTGCCCTGAGCAGCCCGGGTCTTTAGAAACGTGGGCGATCGCCTCTAGGGCGCCTCTACGTGGCGGGCGCCATCTTGACTGAGGCCTCATAGCGCTGCGAAGTAACCGGCCCTAGCACAGGCCTCTCAGCCTGTAGGGCCTTTGGTAATTAGTACAATTTAGTAATTGTTGGCTTCCCGCAGCAGGCTCAGGGCAAGTGATTGCAGCCTATCCCTTCCGGTTGTTGCCTGGGAGCTCCAGCTGCCAGAGGCCTCTTTCCAGCCTCAGGCGTTTAATTCGGATAATTGGCAATCTTTCATTAATAGAGTAATAATAATAATAATAATTACAATAATAATAATAATTATAATAATAATATTAATAATAATAATATAATAATAATAATAATCATAATAATATTAGAACAAGAATATTAACAATAGTTCTAATACTAATAGACATTGGAATATCTGCCTGTATGCAGGTCTAGATATTTCCTCATATATAGATTTATATTTATACTCACACATAGATAGACCTGGGTGAGTTTATTCCTGTAATTTTTTCTTATTGATATTGTACCTTAGCATTCCAAGTCTCATTGGATTGTTATCCTGCTTGTGCAGATAAGTATTAAGAATTATTTCAACATCTATATTACAGAATTTATACATCTAAATTCCAAAAGGGGGTGTGGGCCAGCTGAAAGGACACCCGACCTTTGTTGTAGGTCGAACCCTTGGCGAGCCAACCGCCTTTAACTGTATTACTGTCCTTTCTTGTACAATGGCAGATGACATTCCCACCAAAGGCCCTTCTTTGAAGGCCAAATCCAAATCCTACCACCTGCGCAAACAGGCTAAGGAAACTCCTAAGGAAATTCCTAAGGAAACACCTAAAGAGACTTCTAAGGCTTCTCAGAGAGACGCCCTACGACGTCACAGGGCTCTCGAGAGGGAATTTGACAGGCGGTCCAGAGAGGCACAACCGGTACTTCCAGCACCCTCTGCTCCTTCTACCTCCAGACCCCCCCCCTCCAGATTGTTTTTCCGTCTCCAGGCGCAGCCCATCCCAGGGACACCAGGTTCCCGGCCCATCAACCAGACGGCCTCCTGAAGCTACATTCACGCCCACGGCCGCTGGGCTTCGCCAGGAGGAGGCCCCCTCATCCGAGATCCCTGCGCACATACAGGCATTGATGGAACGGGCCATTCGCCAGGGGATAGCAGAGGGCCTTCAACAGATGTCCAGGTCTACTCCCCCCTCACTGGCGCCCGAACACGACCCACCATCAGTGAGGTCCTCGCCCAGATCGGACCCTACTCGTGGTCAGGTACCTTCTCAAGGGGGCAGCCCTCTCCCAGAAAGGGACCCGGAGGAGGATATAGAGTATCTAGACCAATTTGGGGGGGAAGAGGAAATGGAATGGGGGTCTATGCAACAAGAGGAGCCCCTATCGGAGGTAGATCCTATGGAGGGGGACATGTCCGAGGATGAGGGTCTCACCCCGGACCAACCCACTGTTGCGGGCCTGTTCAAGCCCCACATGTTCAAATCCCTGTTATTCAAAGCCAGGAACATCTCTGGCCTGTCGGTGCAAACCTCCTCAGCACTCCCCTCCCCGGCAGAAGGTCAGGAGGACGCCATCTTTAGTCAACCCGTGGTGGAGGCGGAGGTAATCCCGGCTCCACCCCTATTTCATGACCTGGTCTCAAATCAACTGAATTCTACTAGGGCCCCTCCCGCCCCATCCAGCCTGGACAGGAGGTTCTTTAACCTCGAGTCGAGTTTCTGTGACTTACTCAACACCCCCGAGGTGGATGAGCCCATTGTTGGGTTGGCCTCCTCGTCCTCCCCCAGTGACCCCCTAGAGGCTCTGAAACCTGAGGACAAGAGGTCCGAGCTCGCCTTACGTAGAGCTCACCAAGCGGACTCCTGGGCCATTAGATCAGCCACTGCGGCTTCTTTCTTCACCAGATCTTCGATCCGGTGGCTTCGGCAACTGAAGCAACATGTTCCCCCCTCCAACACAAGGGCTCACCAGGACATAGCAAAACTGACGGCCGCGGCGGAATTTTCCGCTGATGCCACCTTCCATGCGGTCAAGTTCTCTGCCCGGGCAATAACGTCCCATGTCACTGCTCGCCGCCTGCTATGGCTTAAACACTGGCAGGAGGACGTTAAAAACAAAGTTAAGCTGGCTACTGCCCCCATAAAAGGGGAGAAACTATTTGGCTCGGCTCTGGACCCCTTGCTATCTGAAACCCGGAGCAAGAGAAAATTTCTCCCTCCTCTGTTTCGGAGGTCAGAGTCTAGAGCCCCCCAGCCATTTCGGAGAGGCTCCTCCCGCCCTTTCTACCAGTCTCCCTTCCCGCCAAGGTACTCGAGACCCCCCTCCTCCCGACCGTTCCAGCCCCAGGATTGAACCGATCCGGCCGATAGGAACAGGAGGGGCAGCGGCTACAGGCGCCCTTTCAGGGGTTCAGGAGGGAGGCCCTTCCGGCGTAGATAGTTCCCGTCCCTCCCCTCCCATCGGCGGACGCCTCAAGCACTTTGCCAACCGATGGGACTCTTCCACCTCTGATACCTGGGTCCGTGATACCATCAGACTCGGCCTCACGCTCGAATTCAAAAGCGCCCCCCCTGACTTCTTTCTGGCGTCCCCCCCCTCAAGGGACCCCATCAAACGCAACCTAATGGATTCAGCAATCCATCATCTTCTCCAAATACAGGCCATTCAACCCGTCCCACCCTCCCAGCGGGGGCAGGGGTTCTACTCCCACCTTTTTGTAGTTCCCAAATCCTCCGGAGGATGGAGGGCCATCTTGGACCTTAAACGCCTTAACCGTTATCTGGTCTATCGCAGGTTCAAGATGCACACCCTGCAGTCCATCCTCCTCAGCATCCGCCAGGGGGACTGGCTCTCCTCCATAGACCTCTCCGAGGCCTACCTCCACATTCCAATCCGACCCTCCCATTTCAAATTCCTCAGGTTCTGCTACAACCACCGCCACTTCCAATATGTCGCCCTTCCCTTTGGGCTGGCCTCTGCCCCGAGGACCTTCACTAAGATCCTCGCGGCCCTGGCGGCTCATCTCAGGAATCTCCCGGTCCGCCTCCATTGCTACCTGGATGACATCCTCATCCTCTCTCCCTCCAGACCCCAAGCAGAGAGGGACATCAGGGTTACTATCTCGGCCCTCCAAGACCATGGTTTCCTGGTTAATTGGCAAAAGAGCCAACTATCCCCATCTACAAGGATCTCCCACTTGGGGGCTGTCATTGACTCAGTGCAGGGTAAGGTGTTCCTCTCCCCCGAGAGATTCCTTAGTATCCAGGAAGCCGTTAGGCATATCAGACGATCCAGGAAGGTTACAATTTTAGAATTATCCAAATTACTGGGTAAAATGGTTTCTTGTATCTCCATTGTTCCATGGGCCCATTTACACGCTAGACCCCTACAATGGTTCCTGCTCCCGTTCCAGCGGACCGGCAGAAGCAACTCAAGGGCCACAGTCAAGGTACCTCCAAGAGTCCTTACATCTCTCCTCTGGTGGACAAGCCCCACCATCAACAAGGGTCACTTCATCAAGGAGCCCCACCGCCTCACCCTCACCACAGATGCCAGCCTGTCCGGATGGGGCGCTCACATCCTCTCGCTCTCAACTCAGGGCACATGGTCTCAGGTAGAATGGGGGTGCAGTATAAACTGGCTGGAGCTCCACGCCATCTTCCTGGCCCTGCGCAGTTTCCTCCCCCAAGTACGCGGGCGGCATGTCCTCATACTCACGGACAACGTCACCGCCAAGGCTCACGTCAACCGTCGGGGGCACA